GCTTCCTCGCCCCCGTCTGCTCCTCCTCCTCCTTCCTCTTTCTCGTCCCACCTCCTGCCTTCTGCCTCGCATCTCCTGCCCCCCATCTGCTCGTGCCTTCCTCCTCCTCCTCCCTGCCTCCAGACATCTCGCCCTCCTGCCTTCCTGCCCCCCTCGCCCTCTCCCTCCTGCTTTCCTTTTGCCTCCCGCCTTCCTCCCTCTCCCCCCTCCTCCAGACATCTCGCTGGGCACGACCGCAGCGGTCGTCAACGACGCGAGCTCAGAAGATCCCGGCGCGCCGACGGGGGCTTGATCGGACCCCGCCGATCCGGCCGACGACCCCTGCGCGCGCGGTTGGACGGTCTGACGATCGTGGGCGCCCGATGCTTCTAGACCTCGTCTCGTCCAGAGACTAAGTTTTTGTTCCCGTCTTCGGCCTCTGGGGGCCCGCACTTGGCGCCGGGGGCCATCGACGACGCGCGACCTGGGATGAGAGCCGGTCCGGGGAAGTTGGCCGAGGCTTCTGGGCGCCCGCGCCGTGGAAGCGTCGGCCTTCGGGGCGTCAAAGGTTTTTCCTACGCCTTCGGATGCTCTGTTCGCTGCTGCCTGCATCTGGCAGCGCGGGCCAGCCGAGCTGGACCTGGCCCTCTGCAGGTCGGAGGGGCGGGCGAGACGGCACGCCGTGGGAAGTCTGACCGCTTGCGGCCACCGCTGCCGCTTTGGCTTCTGCCTCGGAGGTCCGGTCGGGCCCAGGTCGCCTCCGTCTGAGGCGGCTCTCGGGGTCCTCCGGTGCTCCCAGACGTCCTCGGACGTATACATACAGTGGAAGCCCTGGGTTTCTTGGGTTCCGATGGTTTTGCCATGGAAAGCGTGACGTTCCTTCCCCCAAAATGAATGGACGTCCTGGGGTTTCAGGGTTGGGTGTCTTGTGGAAGGTCTCTTGTGTACTGGCCTCAACAGTATAACGACGCACTGGGCCCGGGGGCCGCGGGGGCCGCGACCCCGACTGCAAATGTGTGGCCCGGGGCTCGGACAGGCCTGGGACCGCCGTAGGGGGACCCCAGAATGTCAGGGAACGCCATCAGAGGACCATCCAGGCGGCCCGCGACAGCTCGGAGCCACCCCCAAGACGGCCTCCCAGGGTCTCTCACGGTCACCACGAGCCTGAAGACGCCTCGAACGCTCAGGACAGCCCCGGAAACCTCCAGGAGACCCTCCAGAACGCATCCGAGAAGCTCAAAACCTGCCAAAACCAACGGGAAATCGATGATCTTGGCCTTCCCGCCTTTCCGCCTCTGCTGGGCTGTTCACGCCACCAAACCCCCCCAAGAGGACACCAGGAGGCCCAGAGACGCCTTCAAAAAGGTCCCAATGGGCCCCAAGAAGCCCCAACAAACCCCCAAGAGGTTCCCCAGGGCGCCCCAAGAGGCGTCCAAGAAGCCCTCAAGAGGCTCCCAGGAGGCCTCACAAACGTCCCGCGAGGCCTCCACGAACCCCCAATAGGTTTCCAGGACGCCCCCAATAGTTTCCAAGAGGCCATAAGTGACCCCAAGAGGTCCGAAGAGGCCCCCAGGGACGCTCAGGACAGCCCCGGAGACCTCCAGGAGACCCCTCCGAACGCCTCGGACAGTCTCAAAACCTTCAAAAGATCCAAGGGAAATCGATGATTTGGGCCTGCTGGCTTTTTCGCCCCCGATGGGCTGCTCACGCCTCCACGAGGCCATCGGGAGGCCCAGGGACGCCCTCAAAGTGGTCCTATGAGGTTCCAAAAGGTTTCAAGAAGTCCCCAAAGCAAGGAGTCGGAGAAGAGGTAGGAGGCAGCAGAATGAGGAGGACGAGGAGGCCGCTCTCGGGCTTTCTCTGGGGCCACCCGTTGTCGGGCTAACTTTTCAACCAGCTCGGACCACCTCGGGACGCTCTGGGACGCCTCTGGAAGCCATCCTGACCCGCCACTTCGCACCCTGTTGAAGCCCTCCTGGGGCCGTGGAGGTTTCCCGAGGTGCGTGTTGACGCCCTGATTGGGGCCTCTTCGGGCCTTTCTCCTTCACCTGTCGGGGCCACTGTGACGCCACTCTTGGAGCTCTTCTGAGTTCGCCTTCCTCAAGGATCTTCCATCATTCATCGAAGCCCAGTCAGGCCGTCGCTTTGGGGCCCTGCCGGGGCCTCTTTTAGGTATTCCAGGGGCATTTCCGGAGGCTCTCTTGAGGCCACGTTGGGGGCATTTTGGGCCCTCCTGTGCCCCTGGGGTTTCTTCGGGCCCCTTTGGAGCTTCTCTTGAGCCCCCCTTGGAGCCCCTCTCGGAGCGCTCTTGGGATCACCTCTGGCTGCCCTTCGAAGTTTTCCTGGGCTCCCTCTTGGGCGCTCTTGGGATCTTCGTAGAGCGCCTTGTATGGAATCGATTTTGCTCGGCCAACGTCGTGAATGGCTACATCTCCACCCAATGTTCGAACCATGTGTGGGTGACTCCTGACGTTGCATCTGTGCGCATGCATCTGCAATCAGCTGTGAGACTGTCAGAGGCTGGATTTTGATAGAACCTGAGCACGCGAAGCGCGCGCGCGCGGTTCTAGTTTCTTGTCAGGGGCAACGAAGTGTGGGGGGGCGGAGAGGCATCGGGGGGGATTCTTTGACGCCCAATTGCCCATTGATCGCCGATCGGGGTTTCATAGTCGCACCCCTTCTGCGAGCGTGCGGATTTGCTGTCGCGGGCTTATCGCCGATCTATCGGCGATGTATCGCCGATTCCAGTTCGAGGATTCCCTCCCTATGCCAGTCCCCCCATTTTAAGCGTTCCAAAAATAACCTTGCCTTCGAGTATCGAAGGAGTTGTCATCTCTTCCGCCGCGGAGGGCGGCGGAAGGGCGGTGGAAGGTCGGCGGAAGTAAAACGAGGCCGCCTCCGCTGGCGGAAACTGGCGGAAACTGGCGGAAGGGCGGCGGATTCTGGCGGAAGTAGAACATGCGCCCCCAAGAGATGACAACATTTTTTTTCGGGTTCAGGGTTTCCGGAATCTGCCATTGATCGTTGCCCTCCATCTTAGCGAAGGGGGGACGTTCTTCGGACGGGGCTGGGACGAGGTCAAATCCGTTGCCTGCGCGCGAGGGCCTCTTGCAGGGGAGCGCGCTGGAGGCGCCGCGTCTGGCGCGAGGCACGGCCGGCTCCGCAGAGATCGTACACTAGCGACCCAGGTCGCTTTCCCCAGCCCCCCCTCCTCTCCTTCAGGAGGGAAAAAGCACACAGCCACAGATCGTCGTCGATTCGAGGGAAAAGATGGGACAAACTGGGAAGTGGGGGGAGGACGAGAATCAAGACGATAGGAGAAAACATGGAGAATCCTTGGATGTGGGTGTATTCATTTGTGTGTCCCTGGGCCCCTTTACTCCCAGGTAGTGCACCAGCGTCGGAGGCCCAGAGGTTGACACCAGCACCAATATCGGCGGTGTGCCTCCGCCGAGGGAAGATCCCGATCTGGTTGGTGGTGGCACTAGTCGGGCTTCCCAGGTAGCCGAAAGATTACCAACAGTACCACCATCCAGGGTCATCTTCCCCCTGTGGAGGCACCCCCCAGTGTTGGTGTTGGTGCTCATCTCCAGGCCTCCCACAGCGACCTAGGTCCCTCTCCCTAGCCCCCCCGCTCCTGGCGCATCCGCCTGTGGTGTTCAGGCTGCTTTCCCTATTATGCGTTGCCTTGCGTGCGCTGGCATTCTCGACCTTGACTGGTGCGGCTTATGTTCTTCGCGCCCCACCCGCGCGCCTGACTTTGCCCGTCTCCCTTCCTGGTCCTTTCCTTGCCCCCTGCTCCCTTCCTGCCTCAGCTCTCCTTCTGTTGTGGATTTGTCGACGTGGCCATCTGGGCCATGGGTTGGTGTGTAGATCTGCACTTCTCCTGTTTTCCCACGCTTTCGGTGCGCGCGACAGCTCACCTATGGCAGGTTGGCTTGAGCGCTGATCCATGCTTTCGGCTTGTGTCCTCCGCCTCGTCCTCCTTCCCCCTTCTCCTGCCCTTGAGGCCGCCAACGGTCGTTTGGAATGGGCGACTCCGCAGCACGGCTCAGCGCTGGCACTGTCGCATGTCTCTTCCTAGGCAGGGCAGGGCGGCCGACTTCGTCGATCCTGGGCCTCTGGGCCGATGGGGGCCGAGGGGAAGCACACTTTTTGCGTCGGCGTCTGGGCAGGGTGACCGCGCTGGCGAGAGGGCAGATGGTGGACGAACAGTTGCGAACTGTAGGCCGCGATGCACGAGGGGGGGGGAGGGGAGGCGCCTGGCGACGGCGAGGAGGAGGAGGAAGCCATGCCCGCTCAACGCGCGCCTGCGCGAGAGGTCCGCACTGCACAGCGCAGGCGCAGGCTTGGGGGGACAGCTCGGGCTCTGCAGGGGCTCGCTGTGCCTCGGGTCCTTCCGTTGCTGTTCCCCTGGCGCTGCCCAAGGGCCCCCCATCGGGCCCTGACACATGCGACGGTTGTTGCTCGCTTGGTCCTCTGGGGATGACAACTCTGCTGGGGAAAGGGACGGGCTTCATTTCAGGGGACTCCGTATTCAACTATTGTCGCCGCCCCATTTGTTCCGACGCGCGGCCTTCCGTCTTGGGGAGGGCGCCGCGGGCACCAGGGCGAACTCCGCTTCGGGCGCAGGGCTTGTCGAGGGGTTTGGCGTGGTGCCGACTGCGTCTCCTTCGGCGCGGGGCAAAGGGCTTTCCGTGGGTCTGCCGTAGGGTCGGCGTCGTCCACCTGGGCGCGTCGAGAACAAACGGCGCGACGTTGACGTCGTCGTCCACGTCGTCGCCGCCGGCGTCTTCGTCGTCGTCGCCGTCGTCGTCGTCTTCGTCGGCGGCGGCCTGGCGGGGGGCCTCCGGGCTCGGGAGAGTACCACAGATCGGGCGCACTCGGCACGGGCCCAGCGGACTGGCCCGACCTGGCGGGGCGCTTGCTGAGGACCTGGGCGACTGCGAGTCGCGGCTGCGCCAGCTGGAGACCAGGGGTCAGAGGAGGGAAATCGAAGAAGAAACATACGGCATAAACATACGTAAATGTTTCACGCTCCGCGCAAATTTCTTGGATCCGCGCTGGACCCCCCCGGCGGCGCCTCCGGCACAGCCCCTGGCGCGCGGAGCGCGCCAGGGAGGGGGGTCTGGCGCGGATCCAAGAAATCCGCGCAAAGCGCCAAAAGTTTATGTTTTTGCCGTTGTTTTTTTCTCTCTAAGGTACCTATGCTGCTACCCTCCGCCCGTTTTGCCTTTATTAGGCCTCCTGAGAGGCCCTCGTCGCCACCGCTGGATTCGCCTCGGACTCCTGGTCAGAACGCACTCCGGGAGAGGTCCGAGGAGTACCGGTACGTTTTGGTTTCCCAAGGGGGCCCCGACATCCTCCCAGACCTGGCCTAACCGTAAAGCAAAATCATGGCGGGAGGTTTCTCGCTACTTTCGGGCCCTTGGGGGCCCTCGCCTCGGGACCGGGCAAAAACGATTCAGGATGAAAAGCCGGTCCTGGGGAAAGGGCGGGACTTCCGGGGACGCCGCATTGAAAACATCGGGACGTCACATGTCTGGGCTCGCGCCCCTTCAGATCCAGGCGTTGCCGACAGGTAGCGTCACGGCCAGTTCTTCGTTGTGTCTGGCCTCTGGAAGCCGTTTCCCGGCCCCGGGGCCGTCAAACAACAGCCTCGGGGTCGAGAGCCCCGGGAGCCGACGACGCAACGAAAAGGCAACGTCGGAGGAAAGGGTAGCGAAACATCGCGACAGGAGGTCTGTTTCCGGGCCCCTGGGCGATCAAAAAAACAACCCAGCACCAGATGCTGGTCCCTGGGCAGGGATCTGGGAGCCAGGCTGGGTAGAAAAACACGGTGTCGGATGCAGAGGCCGGTCCCTGGGCAGGGATCTGGGAGCCACGTTATGGGTCGAAAAGCACGGCGTCGGAGTTGAAGCCCGAGCCAGGCTGGCGCGGCCTTCTTCCGTCGCTGATTGGCCACGCTTCGAAGATGCCGCGTCCGGCCCCTGGGGCCGAAACTGAAGTACACCACCCCGATTACAAAAATCCGATCGTCGTTGCCCTCCTCCTTCGCTGATCGGCCACGCTTCGATGATGTCGAGTCTGGGCCCTGGGGCCGAAAATGAAGTGAAATGCCCCGATTGCAAAAACTTGATCGGACAAGAACGGGAAGCGCCGTTTTAGTCCTATGGGCTTACTGGGCGAAGAAGAGGAAAAGGAAGGAGAGGGCGACGAGGAGGCGAAGACAAGGACGAACGTGAGGATAGCCAGGAGGAGCACGAGGATAAAGTATAACGCCCCAGTTTACAAAAATCCGATGGTCGAAGATCTGGGTATTTTTGGTTCCCACGTGGGCACGATCACGACCTGGGAATTGTCTGGGGCCGAAATTGAAGTAAAACGCCCCGATTGCAAAAGTCCGATCGTCGGAGAGCTGGGCGTTTTGGTTCCCGCGTGGGCGCAGTCACGACCACTGGGAGGTGTCCAGGGAGGCGTGCCCCCTCAGTCGGAGGGAGGAGGTGCGACACCACCACCACCACCAGGTGCGCCACCTCCAGCGAGGGGTTCCATGATACCTCCCCGAGCCGGGGATGCGCGGGATGTCTTGAGCGAGACGGGGGGACCGCGTCACCGGGAGGACCGTCCCTGGCACTTTGCCATGGTGGTGGTGGTGGTGCCGCTCTTCCCTGCTCCTGCAGCAGGAGAGGGAGCTGCTCGAGAAGTCCACGGGCCTGGCCGCCGACGGCGCGTCCCGCCACGCCTCCGTGCTCGTCAGCCAGCGCACGCTGCAGTGTGCCCGCCGCAAGGCGGAGCTCCTGAAGGAAGCTCCTCTGGCCTTAGGTCGAGCATGTCCCCCCTACAGGGGGATTTTGTAACAAAAATAGAACAGAGCCCAAACATATTCAAACATGCGCACTAATTCTCCCAAAGTCGTCACCGGACTTTTTTTAAAACTGTTTTTGAATACTCCTCCTGTGGAGGAACCTGCCCGCCTTCACTCTGGCCACGGCATGCTGCATGAGCCTACCCATGGCGCGTCGGTTGCATGTAATGCCCCTTGCTTCGCCACAAGCGACCTTTCGACTCGCACTGTAGCGGCCGCACCGTCGAGAGGCGCGCACAAGGTCCGGCTTGAATAAGGAACATTTACTTTTCAAAAGGAGCTCGGTCGTTCCTTTGGTTTGCACGCGTTCCGCCGCCTTTGTGGCGGCGAGCCCCCCCTGGTGCTCCTTCGGACTTTTTAGATTTACCTGGAGAAAAGGGTGTTCGTTCCTCATTTCTCGTTCCTTTGATCAGGCCGAATGCAGTCGGCCTTGATTAGTAGGTCGACCCTGCCAAGTCAAGGGTATCCTGGTGTCCCGTCTTTAGCGACGCGTGCCTGCTACAGTATCATGGCAACGTATCCCCCGGAAGGGTCCTGTGCCCCCTCGCGTGCCCTCTCCAATCAAGCCTGGCCACTAGGGGGCCAGGAACAATTAGGAACGAGCACCGTTTTGAGACGAGCACGACTAGACATGAACGACGCGCATCGTTCCTTGGGCCAGGCCGAATACTGCAGGAACCGGCACGCGCCGCGCTCTTCCGGGCGGCGCGCCGCCCAGGGCGCCTGGCTCGGGGGGGGGTGGGGGGCGGCGCTGCCCTGCCAGCGCTCCCTCCCCTCGCCGATCGGGGCCTGGGCGCCCAGGGCGCCGCGCTCCCCTCGGGGGCCGCGCCGACGAGGGCGCCTGGCTCGGGGGGCGGGGGGGGGGGCGGCGCTGCCCTGCTCTAGCGCCCGCTCTCCCCTCGCCGCTTGGGGCGCCTGGGCGCCCCGGGCCTGCCCAGGAGCGTTGGGGCTTCGGGTGTGGTGCTCCAGCCTGCTTTCAAGGCGGACCCGTCCCCCTACAGGAGGAATATTCTTTAACATAGTCACAAACAAAAAGGCTCTCGACGATGTTTGTGCCTCTACAGGAGGAATTTTCAAAAATAGTCACAAACGAAAAGCCTGGAGACGATGTTCTGACTGTTGCTGGCCATTTTGGAGCATTTTGGGGGTATTTCTGATGTTTCGTCTAAGATCCCCCTGTAGGGGGACATGCCCGACTTAAACCTACGCTCGCCTCGATCGCCAGAGCGGACCTCGAGCACAAGGAATGCACTGGGACTGGAGGGTTTCCGTGCGCCGGTCCCTGGGAGGCGATACTCGTTCGACGTTGTGTCGATATTTTTTGGGTGCTCGAACTTATGTTTGGGATGTGATTCTGAAGTGCGATGGGAACAACATGCGATCGAGCGTTGCTTGTGAGGCATCCTTCCCGCCTGTCCCCGAAAAGCTTAGGCGACCCGTCCTCCTCCTCCTCCTCCTCCTCCTCCTCCTCCCTCCTTCTCCTCCTCCTCCCTTCCTCCTCCTCCTCCTCCTCCTCCTCCTTCTCCTCCTCCTCCTCCTCCTCCTCCTCCTCCTCCTCCTCCTCCTCCCTTCTCCTCCTCCTCCTCCTCCCTCCTCCTCCTCCCCTCCTCCACCTCCTCCTCCTCCTTCTCCTCTATCTCCTCCCCCTCCTCCCCCTCCTCCACCTCCCCCTCCTCCTCCTCCGCCTCCTCCTCCTCCTCGGGTCGCCTACGGCCCCGGGGGAAACAGTGCACCTGTCGGTTCCCCTCGCTCTAGAATTGGACGTCCGGTGCGTCGTGTTGGATCGAAACGCGGATCTCCAGACCTCCCGACCCCTTTCTCTGGGGCCCGCGGCTCATCCAGAGTCAGTATACTTGACGGTCTTGAGGCCCAGAACTGGCCGATATTGTTGAGCGTTGCGGGTCGATAGCCGCTTCGTACGCTTGCACACAAACGCGACGCCATTGTCCCCTAGCCGTCCGTCCGCGTTGGCTCTTCCGCCAGTGGTTGGCTGCGCCCGCTTCGCTGAAGCGAAGCAAATCGCTAGTGGTAAGAAGCACCACCCCAGGAAGTGGAGAAGGAGCTCAGCAAGTTCGAGACGGAGTTTGCCGACCGCGACAATCTTCTCTTGCTGGTGAAGGCTGGCGACGTGCTTGTGCCGCCGGTTCTCGCAGGTGCGCTGAAGTTCGTGGCAAGTTTTACCCACGGCCCGGAAGATAAGCCCTCTGAGGCAGCAGCTAGGGACGAGTTCGAGGTGTTTGTGAAGACGTTCAAGCTGCCCGGCAAGCATCATTTCCTGGAGTCCTACAGGAAGCAGATCTTTGAGGCCGGCGAGTGGTGGATAGAGTCATTCCTCAAGGAAGTCGACGATCGGCGTTCGATCTATGCCCCTGCTGCTGCCCCCTCTGGGCGCCAGGGGAAGCCGGGAGTGGATAGAACACGTGGCCCCGGCAGCCAGGATTTCATCCATGCTTCTGCTCCGGCTCCTCGTGTGGCCAGGGCGTGAGCAGCGGCATGGGTGAAACGTCGATCGCCCAGGAGGATGCGTACGGCCAGGCGGTCCACCCGGTGCTCAAGCGGATCTACGACGTCGCGCGGGCCGCCGGGCTGCCAGACGACCACCCCAAGATCCTGACGGCAGAACGGCTGCTGAAGGTTTATCCGCTCGCGCTGCCGCGAGGGTCCGCTCCCGAGCTGGGGCCTGGGGGGGGGGCGCGCTTGGAGTCCGAGAGGCGAAGGTGCCTCTCGCTCGAGGGAAGGAGCACGGGGACCATGACCAAGATGTCGCGCGTCGGTTCGACAGTGTTTGTGTAGTGTGTTTTTGTTCCACAGGGTGTGTTTTGTGTGTGTGTGTTTTTTCCACAGCGTCTTCTTTCCACAGCGCTCTTCCCCTCCCCATGACCGCCTGGCGGGTCGAGCTGCGGGGGCCTCGGCAGGCGGAGTATGTGGACCTGTGCGGGCCCCTCGGGGGCCAAGTCTGTCTGCATCCACCACATGCCGACGCCCCCGAAGATCTCGGTCCCCACGGGCGGCGGTCATGGGCAACTCGCCGCCTCAAGTGGAGGAGGAAGGGGCGGTGGTCTCAGCGTGGGAGGATGGGGCGGTGGTCTTGGCGTGGCATCTTTTCTTTTTTGGGGGGGGGACACCATGGAAAGCCCAGCAAGAGCTCCACAGTGGGCGCCGCCCCTTTGCGGCGGCCGGCCCGGTTGCTTTCCTGTGGTGATGACCCGGTGCAGGAAGCCGACGCGTGCTGGCCTGGGTGCGACGGGGGGGCCCCAACGGGCTGCACCGCAGGCAGCGAAGGCCAGAGAGAAGGGCGAGGGCCCGACCGACACCCACAGACAGACAGACAGACAGACAGACAGACAGACAGACAGACAGACAGACAGACAGACAGACAGACAGACAGACACAGACAGACAGACAGACAGACAGACAGACAGACAGAGACAGACAGTCAGTCAGACAGACAGAGACAGACAGACAGACACACAGACAGTCACACACACACACACACACACGCTCAGACACACGCTCAGACACACGCTCAGACACACACACACACACACACACACACACACACACACAGTCACACAAACACACACGCGCACACCGAGCACACTGCAAGCGCTGCGGCGGATTTCGCCAGGTGGGTGCTCACGGAGGCGCAGAGAGAGCTGGAAGTGGACGACGACAATGTGAAGAAAGATCCCGACATGAGCTGTGGCATCCAGGCTCGCAAGAAAATCGCGCGGCGTTCAGAGATGGGGTACATGGAGAGAGAGAGAGAGAGAGAGTCTCTGACGAAAAATCCTGAAGCGACGAAGGCCGAGGCAGTTTGGCGCTCTGCCCGGAGCTGCCCAGAACTGGTCAGGGGAAATAGGAGAGAAGGGAAAGTCATACGCAGTGGCAGGAATGGACACTTGAGTGAAGATGTATAGCAACGGAAGTCTCTATACAGATATATATATATATGCAGAGAGAGATTTACACACCGAACTAGACAGAGAGAGAGAGAGAGCGAGAGAGGAAGACAAATCTGTTCAGCGACGCGCCTCCCGCACACTTCTCAAGCGATGCCTCTCCACAGGTGCTCGGAGCGGCCACCGATGCCGCTGCCAGGATCGAGCAGAACGTCATGGAGGCCAAGGAGAAGGGAATCTCAGAAGGCGACCCTCAGATGGCAGAGGCAACCAGCATCATGAAGGAGCTGCGCCAGCGCGACGCGGGGCGCAAGCGCCTCGTAGCGCGGGCACGGCGCTCGATCAGCAACGCCACGACAGCTTGAGAGAAGTGCAGCGCCGCAATGGCTCGGTCGCCTTTTCTGCTCTTCGGGGCGGGGCTACGGGACGAGGAGAAATCCGTTCCAGAGCGCTCGCAGAACTTTCTCGGAGCGCTTCGCAACGCTCTGAGGAGGCCGCGGCGCCCGAGACATCCTCCAGAGCCGCCGGATCTCAGAGATGCTCGACCTGTCCTCACCCGATGTTACCCTCGTCTTGGTTTCGTCTCAGTTCTCCAGCTGCCCAGCAGGCCTTCCCCCCCCTGGTCATCCGAGGTCTTGATACGTTCCACGCGGGCCCTCAGAAGCCGCAGCCCTTCCCCGGGGGACAGCTGTCCACCCGAGTCGTCTCCTGACAGCCCCCGGGCCAGACGAGGGCCCCCCCCCGCAGACCGAAGGCGATGATAACGTCCTGCCTCGATGTTGTCCAAGACGTCGGATATCTGGGCCCGCGTCCTTGACCTCCTCCCTCTTCCTGCTGCTCCCCTCTAGGCCTCCCAGGTGGGTCCGAGCAGATGGGGTCGGAGGATCGCTCCACATCGCCGATGCATCGGCGATGCGGCTCGATGTAAATCCCGTCTTGCTTCACGTCGGCGTCGCGGATGCATCGCCGACGTCGGCCTCGCCGATGAATCACCGATGTATCGCCGATGCATTGGCGATGCTGCGCGAACCTCCGGCCCCATCTACTCCAACCCCATCTAGGAGGCCTCTTTCCCCACGCCCTCGCGCCGTGCTGGCCATTGCCCCGCCGTGAGAGCCGGGCTCTGGTTGTGATTGTTCACGATGTGGTCCATTTTTTGCGACGCTGGATCTCAGGGTTGGGCATGCCAGATTTTTCAATCCTCGTGTTCTTCGTTCATTTCGGTCTCTAGGAGTGTTTTCGGGGTCCTGGGCTATCAAAAGTTGGCCCAGGACGACACCTGACCCCGAAGGAAGTGGCCGACACGTTTGGAGCCCACGGATTGGAGAAAGCGGTCCGCCAGAAGTCTAAATCTGCAGGGCGTGGTCTGAACTCGTGCGGGTCTCACGCTCGATCTCGTTCCTCCTCCTCCTCCTCCTCCTCCTCCTCCTCCTCCTCCTCCTCCCTCTCCTCCTCATCCTCCTCCTCCGACTCCTCCGACTCCTCCTCCTCCTCCTCCTCCTCCTCCTCCTCCTCCTCCTCGTCCTCCTGGGCGTGTTCCGTCGGTTTTCGTGCCGTCTTGGGGCACTCTTTTGGGCCGTTTCGGACGGCGCTCTCGCGACACTGGAGCCACATAGGGTGGCTTTCGTGTGTTCGCGTTGGGCTGTATTGGGGCGCTTTTGAAGCCCTCTGTTGATTTTCGGGATGCGGTCTGAAGTTCAAGGGCCTCGAGAGCAAACTACATCGGCTCAGTAGGGCATGTTCATCGTCTTTTGCCTCCCAGGGCCTCGCTGGGGGGCTCTTTGAGAGTGTCTTCGAGGATTCGTCGGGCATTGTGGGGAGATCTTGGAATGGAGCTCGTTGGGCAGTCTTGGGATGGTCTCAGGGCGTCTTGCAGCCTTTTCGGGGAGGTCTTCGTCTCTCTCTCTCTCTCTCGGAGCCCTTTGGGGGTCAAACTGAACACCAGAGAGCAGATTCGGGAGGGGGCGAGGGGAGGAGGGGGGGCGGCCCTGTAAGCATGAAAGAAACATTGCCAGACAAAATGTGAGCAGTCTGACACGCCCCCACGTGCCTACAGCTTGGTGGCGGGTCAGGGTGCTGTTTGTATGAGTCGTTATGTAGTTCATGTGCCAGCCAAACGGAGGCATGGCGGCACACAGAAACAGAAAGAAGAGAGGGGGGCAGGTGGGGGGGTGGAGAGGAGAAGGGGGGCGGAGAGGTGAATAGAATTCGGAGGGGCAGGCGACGACGACCGCCTGCGAAGACGACGCCAGCGAAGACTACCTCTGGCGAAGACGACCGCCAGCGAAGACAACCGGTGGCGAGGACGACCGCGACGAAGACGACCTTCGCGAAGGCGACCGCTGGCAAAGACGATTCTGGCGAACACGACCGGACGAAGGCGACCGCCAGCGAAGACGACTCGTGCCAAGAGGGACGCTGGAGCAAGTGTCTGGCCAAAACAGGGGGCGGGGCACGGGGGAGAGGGGGGGCGAGGGAGGAAAGGAAAGGGGCATGGCGGAGAGGGGGGAGGGGGAGGGGAGCGGAAACAGGGAAGGCAGGGAAGGGTGAACGAGTGGAGGGGAGGGAGAGGAGGGGAGGGGCGGGAGGGAAATCCCAGAGGAATGATGAAGAAGGAAGGGAAGGGAAGTGAAGGGGTGGGAGAGATGATGGGGGGGGGCAGTCGGAGGCAGAGGGAGGAATGACGGAGGGAGGAGGCGACACGAGAAAGGGGAGAGGGATGGTGGACAGGACAGGTAGATGGTGGATCGGGAAAGGATGGGTGTGGGGAAGCGAGCGGGAGGGGACCCAGACATATGCTGTTTGTTATTTCCAGTACGGGGTCCTTGGACGTCCCCATCCTTCCATCGGGCAGGGCTTGCAAACCTCATGCGTCTTTTGCTGGCCCCCGGAGTCCAAAAGCAGGCCTTCAAGGCCGAAGAGCGGGGACGCACCCCCACTTTCATTGTCCCCAAACGTTGAATACGTCTTGGCAGGAAAAGCTCTTTATCCTGAGTCGTTTCTTGCCAGCCCTGGAGCCCGAAACCACCCCCGAAAGGCCGAAGGCGGCGAGACACGGTCACGGCATACACATGTGTTGTTGGACCTCGGCGCGGATATCTTCCGAAGTTTCTGCTTACACAACTGTGTTTCGTCTGTCTGTCGCCGCGCCGTTTGTTCCGACGTCCAGCTTGGCGTCTTAGGGAAGGCGCCGCGGACACCAGGGCATACGCCGCCTCCGGCGCTGGGCTTGCCGTGGGTTTTGCCGCGGAGTCGGCGTCGTCCCTTTGGGCGCGGGACGCGGGATGTGCCGTGGGTTTGCCGTGGTGCAGGCGTCGTACATCGTGGCGCGTCGAGGACCAACGGCGCGGCGACAGGCGCTGACTGCCCCGAGGCGCGGGGGCACACCTGGGCAGGGAGGCGCGCCAGGCAAAGCCCCGCTCGCCTCGCGTGCCTGGGCCCCGGGAGCCGCGCGAGGCCCGCCCTCGGCGCGGCAACCCGCCACCCCTGGGGGCACTCCCCGCGGTGGAGCGAGCGCGGCCGAGGTCAGATGCCGCACCCACCCTCTTCAGGGGCAAGGCTAGGGGGAGGGCGCGCTCAGTGGGGGGACGGGCGTCTTCGTTGTTTCTCGGCTTCGGGGTGCGTTCCACAGCCGCGCCTCGCCGAGAGCGCCCCCGGGGTGCTCATCGTCCCGAGCGGCAGCCAGAGGCCCGAAGTATGACCCGAAAACCAGAGGACGAGGATCATTGGGGGGGGGGATCGGCTCAGCGTGGGGACGCATCGACCCCCGATAGCCCAACCCCGCCCACGAGCATGCGCATTCGCCATCGGGGGCCTATCGCCGACCTGCCGGCGACGCATCGCCGATGTCAATTCGATGTTTCGCACCCCGAGCCCGTCCCCTCCTAACGTTATGGGCGTTTTTAGGAGTGTCCCTGGTCGAAGGTGCCCCCAGGATTCCCAAGGGGCCCATCACGGCCTCCAGAATACCCCTCGCGAGGCCCAGAGGGTCCTAGGGGATCCAAGATTGAGCGAAGAGTTGGGGGCACCTCGGGCCAAGGATTCCCTTAGCACCCCCCGAACGTTGCCCCTGGCCCCTGCCGAAGATCTTTGAATTTCGCGCGGGGCGCCCTGGCGGCCGTGGGCGATCGCCCTCTTGGCCCCGAGGCCGCCGTCGCGCAGCCGCTGCCGCTCTCCATGGGTTGCGTTGTGGATTCCGGGGGCCTTTCGTGCCCTGTGTCGGCGGCGAGCGAGCGGGGGGGGAGCGAGTAGGAGCAGGCCTTCTCGGAAGGCGGCGGGATTTCTCAGAAGCCCCCTCTCAGGCCTTCTGAGAAGTTTTCGGTGTCTCCGGGGAATGCTGAGAAAGCTTTTCAGAAGGCCGGGGGACTTTCCGAGCCTTCTGAGACGGCCCGCCCCTTCTCGCTTCCCCCCTGGGCTCGCCGCCGACTGTAATCGACTACGCGTAACAGTATTCGTCGCCCGAGTGACCTTTGGTGCGGACCCAATGGGGCCACTCGGTCGTCGAACGCGATGCGATAGCAGCGTCTTGCGCGCTTGGGTTTGGCCCTCCCGCGTTTCCCCGAAAGCCGCGCACCAACGGTCAGCCACTCTAGCCGAGGGTTACTCTTTCGTGCAGCTGGTGTAATTTCAGTATGTTCTTGTACTCCGAGGTGGGTTCGCGGATTCGACTTGGTTTCGACGTGGATTCCACGTGGATTTGGCACGGGTGCGACATGAATTTACCACGGGTTCGCGTTCGACACGGAGTCCTCACGGATTCGACGCGAATCGCCGCGCGACGGGACAGAGAAGGTTTCCCGACTATGCAACGCAGCATGGGGCCCAGTCATCCTACATCCTGAAACCAAATTGGACGAATATCGTTGGACCATTTTCAACCTCTGGAGGCCGGTTGCGGGCTCACGAGCCCGGACGTAAAGTTCTGGACTTTGGGGTTTCATTTTGAGCAAGCGGCCGCTGTTTCAATCAGCTGCCGCACCGCAGGCTGGTCCTCCCGCTCCCGTGGCTTGCTCGGTGCCTGTGCCTACTGAATGGCAGGTCGGCTCCAGCGGCCCGTGCCCAGAGGAGGACAGGGTGCCGGTACCGCTGCCCTTCCCTCGAGTTGATCTTCTTGGGCTTCCTGCGAGGCTCTCCGTCGTCACGGCGTGGATTCGTCTCGAAATCTGGGTCAGGAAACACGCCCGGGAGCTGTCCAGGGAGTAGTCAGCGGCATCGGTACTTTTTGGTTTCCCCAGTCCTTGCCCCGTAGTGACCGGTTTCGGGCAGCGACTGTTTAGGTTGCCGCCGTGCTGGTCTCCACGCCTCCGCGTTTACCGAATGTGTCGGTGAATAACATAGGCACAAGAGCATACGATGTCTTCCAGCGTGGACCCAAAACAGTGTTTTGAATGCGCTACGGATGCGAAATATAAGTGGTGCAATCTTCGTGGTGTAATTCATTGCGACCACATACTTGCTTTACCGCGTTCAGTGCTGGCGCAACCGTTCCACCCACCCACCCGCAACTTCTTTGCAACACCCAGCTGGATGACGATAGCGACAATGACGATGACGATGATGATGTTCATGACCACGGCTGGGGCGATATCGACAACGACGACGATGTTGATATGTTGATGGCGACGACGGCTTGACGGTGGCAGTTATGATGTCGGCGATGATGATGGCGATAGTGTTGGTGAGGATGATGGGTAAAGGCGCGCGCAGAAACTTGGTGAGGTCGACGACATCGATGATGACAATGAAGACGACGGCGGTGATGATGATACGGAAAAGCGTGATGGTTGGCGACTACAATGATGACAACGCTGCTGGCGATGATGGTAAAGACGCTGCTGATGAGGATGCTGAAGAGGTGTGTCTGTGTATCAATTTACGTAGCACCCTGCAGATGCGGATAGCAGTGAGGGGAGGGTGGGGACGTCGGCAGTTTGCGAGACTCTGGAGAATCTCGCCGCAGGCTCCAAAGTTTCACAAATTATACAACGAGCCCGCCGCAGGCGCCGATTTTTTCTTGAAGCCAATGTTGGTAGGTCGCGGGTGGGTCGCTGTTGGGTCGCGGGTGGGTCGCGGGTGTAGAGGGCAGAAAACCCACCCCAGAAGAATCACCCCGACAAGCGAAGCCGTTTAGTAAACGCACAAGGAATGAATCGAACAGGGCAGGGTTGTTCAGTCAACGCCCAGGGCCGTTTTAGTCAGAGTGAGGGGGCCGAACGGTCATTCACTGTCCCTGGGTGCGTGGCTGAAGTGGAATTCCGCGGTGCGGATTCTCGTTGTTGTTGTTCACCCACCCGCGACCCACCCCGACCCACCCCGACGCGACCCACCCCGCGACCCACCCCGCGACCCGCCCGCGGCCCACCCGCGACCCACCCGCGACCCACCCGCGACCCACCCGCGACCCACCCGCGACCCACCCGCGACCTACCCCGCGACCCACCCGCGACCCACCTTCGACCCAAACCGCGTTCAAGGTACAAACCACCATTTTCGGCGCCTGCGGCGGGCTTTTTTGCACTCCTTCCAGGTGGAGAGTCCGCGACCCACCCCGTGACCAACTCGCGACCAACCCGCGACCCAAACCACGTTCAAGGTACAAACCACATTTTTCGGCGCCTGCGGCGGGCATCTTTTGCATTCGTTTCAGGTGGAGAGTCCGCGGCCCACCCGCGACCACGTTCAGGGTACAAACCACATTTTTCGGCGCCTGCGGCGGGCATCTTTTGCATTCGCTCCCGGTGGAGAGCCCGCGGCCCACCTGCGACCCAAACCTCGTTCAGTGTACGAACCAATTTTTTTGGCGCCTGCGGCGGGCTGCTTTTGCATTCCTTCCAGGTGGAGGTGGAGAGCCCGCGACCCACCCGCTACCCAAACCACGTTCACTGAACAAACCAATGCCGCACAAGCGCGGCGGCGGATTTTTGCATGCCGCCTGAGCCCGCAAGGACCTCTTCAAGCCCCGCACATCCACACCAGCCCGTCCAGCAACTTTGCCCCGGCGAGTTGCCTTGATCAGAGAAGGCGGGGAGCATAAAATGGAAAAAAGGATTGCGTTGCAGTTATCTTGGGAAAGGAGGGGGAGGCAGGAGGAGTAAACAGGGGACGAGGAGAACGCGGAAGAAGAGAGGATGTAAGGAGAATGTGGAGAAAGAAAAGGAGGAGGAGCAGGAGGACGAGGAGGGGGAGGAGGGGGAGGAGGAGGACGAGGAGGGGGAGGAGGGGGAGGATGATGATGATGGACGACAATGGGAGGACGATGATGGAGGCCGATGAGGGGGAGGACGACAATGGGAGGACGATGATGAAAAGACGAGGGGGGGGAGGGAGGACGAGGAAGAAGAGGAGGAGGAGGAGGACGAGGTGGAGGAGGAGGATGACGATGACGATGAGGACGAGGAAGAGGAGGAGGATGAGGAGGATGATGATGATGATGATGATGATGATGATGATGATGATGATGATGATGATGAGGAGGAGGAGGAGGAGGAGGGAGGGAGGAGGAGGAGAAGGAGGTGGAGGAGAGCGCCATCGACAGGGAAGGTGGGGGCCACGAAGTCCGCCGGCTCGACGACGCCCGCGTCGCCCGCGGCCGCCCCCTCACTCTTATCCGCAATTGCGGGGTGCTACAGTAAACGTCAATTGTAGGGTCCGGGTGGTTTTTCCTCCCGTGAGGGTGGGTCGCAGGGTGGTCGCGGGGTAGGTCGCGGGTGGGTCGCGGGAGGGTCGCGGGGTAGGTCGCGGGTGGGTCGCGGGGTGGGTCGCGGGTGGGTCGCGGGTTGGGCCGCGGGGTGGGTCGGGGTGGGTCGCGGGGTGGGTCGCGGGTGGGTCGCGGGGTGGGTCGCGGGGTGGGTCGCGGGTGGGTCGCGGGGTGGGTCGCGGGGTGGGTCGCGGGTGGGTCGCGGGGTGGGTCGCAGGTGGGTCGCGGGTGGGACGACGACAATTACTCCGACGGAAGGACCCCACATGAGAATCCTTTGGGCGAATCTGGAAAAAGCCCTCGCCGTCGTCCTCGTGGTTGGTGAGGCGTCCTGGCTGTCTCTTCTGCGTATATTTCTTCTCGCCCTGGCGCGGGCCCCCCCCCCGCTCCCTACGTTGCCTCCGAGCTCGCCCTCCTGTTTTGGCTCCGGACGTTCAGAAAGTGGCCCGGGAGTGGTTTTCTGGGAAGACGAAGAACACGAAGTGGCCTAGAGTTGGCTCCGGGCATTCAAAATGCGGCCCGGGAAAAGTGTTCTGGGAACACGAAGAACACGAAGTGGCCTACAGTTAGCCCCGGGCATTCAAAATGTGGCCTGGGAGTGGCGTTCTGGCAGCGCGAGAGCCCAAATGTGGCGACGGTTTGAGGAATTGGATGACCCGCTCGGATTCATAACATGATCCGCGAGCCCCATAGGGAGGGGGCTCCCGCTTGAGACCTCCTTGCAATTCATTCACAAATATGGCCTGAGAATGGCGTTCTGGCAGCGCGAGAGCCTAAAAGTGGCGACCGGTATAGGAATTGGATGACCCGCTCGCATTAGTAACGTGATCCGCGGGCCCCATAGGGAGGGGGCTTCCGCTTAAGATTTTTCGCAATTCATTCGCAAATGTGGACTGGGAATGGCGTTCTGGCAGCGCGAGAGCTTAAAAGTGGCGACAGCTACAGGGATTGGATGACCTGCTCGGGTAAGTAACATGATCCGCGGGCCCCATAGGGAGGGGGCTCCCGCTTGAGACTTTTCGCAATTCACTCACAGACGAGGCCCAAGGCGAGTGAGTGAGTGAGTGAGTGACTGACTGACTGACTGGTGATGACGATGATCATCACACTCCCTCACGCGCGCACTCATCATCATCATCATCATCATCATCATCATCATCATCATCATCATATGTGAGTTTATGAGCGTGTGAGTGAGTGACTGCTGATGAGTCAGTGAGTGAGTGAGTGAGTGAGTGAGCTAGTGAGTGAGTGAGTGAGCGCACGAAGACAGAAGAGGAGAGGGGGTGAGGTGAGGAGGTTCCTGCGCGGGGTGTCCAGAGAAAACAAGAGCCCCACTTTGGATGTGGGGAACAACAACAAACAACAACAACAACAACAACAACAACAACAACAACAACAACAACAACAACAACAACAGCAACAACAACAAACACAACAACAAAAACAAAACCAACAACAACAACATAACAAACGCAACCACAACAACAACAACAACAACAACAACAACGCAACAAACATAATTCCCACCACGACTTCCTTCTTCAGCCACGCA